CACTCCTCACATGACCACAATGGCCAGGACTGGACCAGACCAAAGCCAGAAGCTTCATCTGGGTCTCCCATGTGGGTGCAGAGGCGCAAACAATTGGGCCATCTTCCACTGATTTTCTTAGGCCACTATCAGGGAGCTGAATTGGAAGTGGAGTAGCAGGGACAAAAACAGGCACCTATATGGGATGTTGGTGTAACAGGCAGCAACTTTACCCTCTACAGCACAGCTCCAGCCCCTGAATTTTCCACCTTATCTCTTCATGTCTAGGGAATTTCATCAGCTGATCATATCTAAGTATTTCCTTTCTACTCCTTTTACATACGAATACCTGCAAGCAGAGAACACACCAGAAGACAAAAAGGCTAGATAAGTGTAAGATGGATGACAGTCCACAAAGACAATAGGAGAACAGAGCAAGACCCATATCCACGACCTGACACTCAATAAATATTTCTTGAATGACTGAATGGAGTTCCTGGGAGGTTAAATTATAGGACTTTAAAGGTCTCTTCCTATCCTGATATTCTGATTTCTCAGAATAAGATGACAAAGGCCTGGGGAGACTCAGAAGGTGATAATCAAAGTCATCAGGAGCAAGATAAGAGGAAGGGTTCCACCTCAGACAAAGAGGGGTTCCTAAAGAATAACTCAGCATGGGCCTAAACTGTCACACCCTAGCATGGTCCCTATTCTCTGCTAACACCCCCAAATCCCTGCCCAGAGTCCAAGGGGATTCTTATGACTTAAGGGGTAGACAAGATCTCAAGGGAAATCCTTAACTTACTCAGGGAGCCTGAGAAGGAATTATGTATGTTGGTGGGGTGGTAGTGTGAGAAGCAAACATTTGGTACATTTTCAAAGATGATTACTTGTGAGTAGACCACTAGCTGGTACAACTGTTGGGTTACATGCACCTGAAAGTACTTAGGTACACAGGATGTTAGTGGCCAAAACAGCTGAAACAAATGACGGGACGATTGTAACCCATAATTATTCAGCCATTGAGAAACTGGGGGAGGGACCTGTGTGCTAGAAAATAAATAGCTTGCTGCAAACTACCCCAAGTGTGCTGGCCCACCAGGCACCTGGTCTTGCAAAGTAATCAATCAAGTCTTGCTTTTGCTGCACATCGAGTCTAAGTCCATCCTTTGAGCGGACAGGTGAGACTGTTTTTCACAGTGGTAAAACTGTTTTTGAGATCCTGGATTTTATGATAAATGTTCTTTGCAATATCACAGAATCCTAGTGTTGTTCAGGGCCGGAAAGAGTCTTAGAATGATTGAATCTAATCTAGAATGATTGAATCTAATCTAGAATGATTGAACCCTGCTCCCACCCCAGTGCAGGAATTCTTTCTACAGCATCACTGACACAGGGTCACCGGATCTTTCTCTAGAGGCAGAAGTCACTGTTGGACAGCTCCCCGTGGGCAGGTTCTTTCTTCACTTCTGAGTCCTGATCTCTAATTTCTACCCATGGGTAACAGAGACCATGCCTGTTGCCTCCTCCATGGGGCAGCACTCCTAAATCTGAGGTCACGAATCACTTCTCTCCTGCCAGCAAACATTCCTTCAACCACAGGCATACATCCTGTGGGTGCCTCAATGTGCTGGTCCCAGTGGCACTCTCACCGGTCTCTGGATTCTTAAAACGAGGCTGGCAAGTTGAATGCTGCAGAATGGAATGCAGTGGTCCAGATGTGGCCTTCCCTGCACAGAGGACTATTTCTTCCTATTCATTTCTAAATTATCACAACCATTTGTTTCTAGATTGGTACCCCCCAAAAATGGCCACCAAACTGGCTGGTACCTTAGGTCCCAAGGTCCTCTTGCATCACTTGCTTGCTCTTTGTCTGTCTTCCTCTGGCTGGTGCAACTCCTATGCTACCTACCAGTCCAGTCATATCTCATGCTGCCTTTACTGTTACTGATTTAGTCCTAGATAGGAAAATAGCCAAGTTCTCCCTAACTTCTTCACAGTGTCTGTTCCTGCTCACCATGAACCCTTAATTTTCCTGACATTTAGAAGTTCTAAATATTTTTCAAGTAAGCCATGAATAAATGCATGAATATTAAATGTTACTTGCAAACTTGACCACACCAGTCTGTAGTGAAGACTCCATTGCCATTAGAATCTGGCCTGTTAGCATCATTGACCATGACTCAGAATAAACAATTTCTTCTTGTCAGTATCATCTGCCTAATCTATATGTTCATTTTTCATAGTTCTTCTTTTCTCCCAAAGCTATGGTTAGGCTGAAAAGTGGCAAACCCTATCTGACCCATTAAGTTCTTTAGTATTCCCACCCAAGCTAACTGTCGTTAGAACAGTTCTGTTCCAGATTCTAACAGTTGTCACATGTGAGCTTGAAGCCAACAGAATTAGGAAGTGGTTAGTGTACAAGACTAATTGGTGGACTCTGCAGTCGGCCAAGTACTCACACTCCCAGTGACCTTGGGTCCATAGGGAGAAGGCAGCTGATATCACAGATCAGTTCTTCCCCCTGAAGATGACAACAGGACTCTTGCCTGACACCTGCCAGTACCCATGAAGAACCTTCTGTGTTCTCAAGAGCACAGGATGCAATGTTTGTGCCCACCTTCTGAGAGGCAGAGATCCTCTATCTAGTATTTTCTTTCATTGATAATGTATTGTTTCTCCTTCTTCCTCACTTCTTTCCCCAAACCCCTCTTGAGTTTCATTCCCCTTCACTCTACCAGAAATCTTTTCTTTTTAAGTTGCTTCCTATCAGTTTTGTCCCAATCTTCATTTAACAAGTCAGAATGCAGAAAAGTATTCCTGCAATTTTTCCTAAAGAAAAGATGAGCCTTTATTAGCTGCAGGAATGAACATACAAGAAAGAAAAATGTGCCCCTTCACATCTCCTAGGATCCAAATTACCTCTGATTCTGAAAGAACTGAGAGTTCGTGATGGATCCCTCGGAAAAGTTCCTTTGTAAATTGCTTCAGAAAGCGCCCGGCTTTATGCCTGTTAGTAGTGTACTTGGAAATGACACTTTTAAAAACTGCTTAGCCCCTACATGGCTAAATGGCTAAATTACCCAGATCAATCATAGGTTATTTAGTCTGTCTCCTTGCCTCTGAGACAGATAGGAATATTTCTTCTCTACAAAGGTCTCTGGGGGTGGGGGGAGCAAACCTTCTTCTCTTTTGTTCAGTTCATCATCTCATGCACACAAAGTTTAGAAGGTCTTTGGACATAACCCAAATCCCTTTCACTGGAGCTTAAGGCCCTCTATCTTTTTTCTGGTCCCCAGTGGATATCATAAAGAAAAAATAAACCAGACACAATCCAACGTCTGTTTGTTCACAGCCTTTTGCTTGGAGCCCTTTTGGGCTTATCATTCCATTCAGTATCCTCCCAAGCATTTGATGACCACTCTTGAAATCCACTTTACCACCTGCCCATCACCAGCCACCAATCCCTTTATATTTGTCTCCCCTATAGCTCCCTGGAAAGTGTGCTTGCCTCCTTCGACACCTGCCTCAAGAACTTAATCAGCACATTCAAAAATTATCGCAGGTCTCCCGGCAAAGGCAGAGCCAGTTATATAGCTCATCTATGTAATTCAATAATCTTCCTATAAAATGCACACAGACAAGCCAAATGCTATGCAAGCACACAACTCCACTTCTTATCTGCCACAACAAACACTTCACAGGCTTCAGCTCCTTTAAGAGACAGAGCAGCACCCTTGCTGGTCAGAAGCAAGGATCGGGGCAAGAGCCAGGAGGACTGAGTTCCAAGCCAAGTTCCACCACTGATCCCTGCAAAATGTTCAAGTCCCAAATAAGCCCCATTCCCCAAGCAGAACTTGACACATGCTTGCCTAAACTGCTTCAGTGGTCTCTTCTTGGCTCTCACATTCTAGAATTCTTTGGCTGGGCAAAGGCATCTTCCCTCTCATCTCAAAAGATATAAATCATGTTCTTGGCATTTCCCCTCTATCCACTTACAGGGCCAGCATCACCTAGAATGGTTTCTCAATCTTTCATTACTGCCTTCTGACCTGAAGGAAACTTTCTGTTTTTTAAATTTGCATTTATTTTCATTTTATTGGCAGAGAGAGAGAGATGAAGAGAGATCATCCCTCCCTCAAAGGCCTACAACAACCAAGACTTGGCCAGGCTGAGTCTAGGGGCCTGGAACTCTGTATGGGTCTCCCACAAGGGTGGCAGGGTTCCAAGTGGGTTCCAAGGAGTCATCATCTGCTGCCTCCCAGAGTGCCATTAGCAGGAAGCCAGATCAGAAGTGGAAGCCAGGACTTGAACCAGGCATTCTGATAAGGGATGCAAACATCCCAAGCAGCAGGTGATGAAACTGCTGTGTCAAATGCTCCTCCCCCAACCAAAAGAGACTTTTTAGAGCCACCCCCACTGCCAATTGCCTCACTCAGTGAAATTCTAATACCACACAAACACAGCCCACCAATACCATAGATACTTCGGTGGCTAACACAGAAAGCAGTGAGGCTCTTTTGCACCTGCCCAGAACAAGTTTTTACTCCACTTAGGGGCAATATTACCCCCACTGAAAATGTATGACCTATCTTGAGCCAAGGGCCACCACTAGCTGAGTAATTCTAGTGGCGCTATTTACCCCTAACTCCAAGAGCCACAAATTTATTCACAAGCCAGAGGTTTTGAAAATACTCCATTATGGGAGCCAAAGTGGAACTATTTGCTAGGAAATAGCTTCCCATCCCTCCTCCCTGTCTCCTGTTGCACAGTCAGTGCTGGTCACCTTAGCCTGAGACACCACCTCTGCCCACAGCTCCCATTCCATTCACATGAATCCCAGCAGTAACAATGGGAATGATGGGAATTTGGCAAACAATGGGTGGTGATATTCCAGGAATAATTAGAACTCACTCCAAGGGCAGAAACCACCCAGGCCCCTGACAGAGATAGAGGCTGCTTCCAACTCTTGGCATCAGTCCAGCCCCCCTCTCCCTGCAGGCCATTCCCCTTCACCTTACCTTGGCACACTGGCCAAATACGTCACGAGTTTCCGCAGGTCTTCCTGTCTTATTCTGTCATGATTGCTGCGAGCAGGGAAGGTCAGGATGGGTCCCCCTCGCTTATCACGGCCCCCTGCAGGGAGCAAGAAGAGGGAGTTTAAGAAAATCAGCCAGGAAAGTCAGCTGCAGAGGAAAAAGAATTCTGTCTGAATACTGGAAGAACAGGAAGCAATACAGTGCCCAGAGAAATCTGGCCACTTTTTAGGACAAGGCAGGGGGCTGGCCACACATAGCACATGTGACCTTGGACAAGTCTTTTGACTTCACCGATTCCTTCTCCATAAAAGTCAGATGAAAATGCAGTGGGTGCATTTTAGCCCATTACAGGAATGATGGGAGGACACATGGGGAACACTTGGAAAGCAAAGCTCTCTACAAATGGGAGATAACAAAGGAGGTGGTGGTAACTGCTCTTGGTAGAAAACAAGCTGATGGAAAGTACTGTGTCCTCTGGATATTTAATCCCCAATTCCCTTCTCTTTGCAGCTCTCTGTGAGGTGGCAGTGTCTGTGATGAACTGTTGACCATGCTGAGAAGGCTTTAAGGTGTCTGTCCATGTGGGGACAGAAGTGCCGCGAGGTTTTCAGACCCATAGAGAAGACAGTAAGTGTTTTCCACACAGACAAGAGGCCAGCCCAGCCTGCCTGCCTGAGGAGCCACCTGTCACTCCTGCTGGAGGAGCTCATGAATCTCATCAGAAATAAGGATGCTCAAGGTCTTAATCACTGCAAAGCTTAAGTACACGTGCTAGCATTACACATTTTCTAAACATCATGTTTAATAAGGCCAGAAGGGGTGCACCAAAATGGCATTCACTGTTATTAGATGGCTGGGATTTCAGATGGCTGCTTTCCCCTCTCTATTTTCCAGACTTTCTACTCACTAGTTATTATATGATTTCAAAATGTACTCAGTAGTGAACACTATACTAGGAAGCAGAACTGAGTTTCCCAGGAGGATTAGACAGAGATGAAGCTAAGGTGTAGTAACTCTGACCCTCCATGGCACTGGCTATTATTGTACAAAGAACAGCTCTGTGTCATGATTTGAGGCAGCCATTTGACAACCCCTGGGAACCCTCAGCATCTAAGGAGGTAGGAGGGGTCAGCAAAGCCACCACCAATGCCCGAAAAGCAACTTAAAGCTCAGTTATCAGAAGAAGAATCTCTTATAAAGAAGGCAGACCCTCCCAGGACTCCACCCAAGTGTAAGTTCATGAATAATGTTTCCTCTGATTGTGGGTTCCAGAAGCCTTATAGTCAGAGGGGAGACTTGTCAATCAATCAATCCAGGATCCTTCTGAAGAGGAAATAAGGAGGCTGCAAAGAGAAGAGGATCAAAGAAAACCAAGGCCACTGAGAGATTTTGTCCTGATGAAAGTCTGTTTGCTCACCCCTCCTGCCCCAGCCCCATCTGGGCAGATTTGTACAGACTGACCTCAGAATTGGCCCCTGGACTCCAGCTCCAGACCTTGTAAACAACCAGTCCTCATTCTTATACTGATAACTACCCTCATCCCACCTGTCCTGGAAATGGTCCCCATCTCCCCACTGCCTTCTGAAGGAGGAAAATATTAAATAGAAAACTTCCCCAAAGCTGAGATGCCCTCCAACACTCTTACCCTTGCCCATTAGCCTTGACTTCACCATAAACATTTTTACTCTTCAGTGGTTTTTTCCCCACAGCTGTTTGTTTTCTTCCTAAGCTTCCACTGACACCTTACAAGTAGAGCCATGGGAACGTGGGGAGCCAAGCATGGTCTGACCTGCCAAGCCGAGTAGACCTGGAGGACTGGATGACACTGTCCCTCCCCAGCTGGAGTCAGTGCTGACCTTGGAGACACCAATTTCAGAATTGTGGCTGGGAAAGGTTCCAGATGTCTGGAGAAGGTTAGGGATGGCAGGGGAGGAGGAGTGAGATGAGAAAGCCTGGGGAAGAGTCATTATCTTCTTTCAGGAAGTGTGGATAAGGGATCAAGAAGAAGCAGTAGGACTGAGTTATGCATTTTCCAGAAAGGAAAAGACTTGCAAGTCTATAGGAAGAAGAGGAGGGATCAGCAGAGAGGAAGAGAATCATGATGCTGGAAAGGGAAGGGATAATGGATGGAGTGAAGCCTCAGAGCAGATACATGGAGAGGGTTCATCCCACAGGCTGGGGGCTCCCCTTTCCCTGAGACTGGGTGTAGGACCCAAAGAGGGAGAGGAACCAGAGACAAAGTATGTGGAGATTAGTTCAGCCTTTCTGAGGGACACCGCTCCTTAGGGGCAACAGGAGATGAGAGCAGAGATGAAGAATGAGAATCCCCTGCTAGAGTCAGTGTGCATTGTGGAAAAGGATCCCAGAGGGTGGCAGGCCAAGTAGCCAGGATCTGAGAACATGACAGAGACGACAGCATGACCTGCAAAATCACCACCCATATGCTCAAACACTTGCTATTTGCCTACCTGTGCAAGGCTTCAGTGCTAGGAACTACGGGATAGGAGCATAAAGAGTAGAAGGGGGAACAGAGATATTGTTAGATGTTCTAGAAATGGCAGTGTTCCCCTTCTGTGGAGACAGGGCATGGAAGGGCTGGTGGAGGAGATGAGGCCAAAATTGGGAGAAGCTGATGCTTCTTGCCTGGAGTGGAGAGGGAATGATGATAATATTTTGTGGGGTTAGACCCCCTTTAGGGCAAGAAGATTAGGGGCATTGCAGAAAGGACAAGAAAAACAACATGGCAGGAGTTTGGTACATGTAACAATATTTCTCCTAGATTCTAATACATGCATGAACGTGTGCGCACGCGCACGCACACACACACGCACACATACACACACACACACATTCTTAAGGGTAGTGAGATTATTCTGTAGTTTGCGAAATGCCAGATTAAACAAACATAGAGCTCTCTATTGCAGGACCTCCCAAGCCTTAAAAGGTTAATGTGCTTTAACAGATGTTGCAAGTGAGGGCAACAATACACAGCTTTTTCCAAACTTATTTGAGAGTAGAATCTCTTTTTGAAGAGATGTTCTATGGAATGCATCTTGAGAAACGTGGGTCCAGAGTACAAAAGGCTGTACCCCAGTGGCATAGAATTTTCCTGCAGACAGCAGAAAATGAAGTTGGGGAGCTAAAGGAGGCATAGAGGAATCCTCAGGAGGTAGCCAAAAGGAAGATATGTATGCCCACAAAGAAACAGGGGTAGACAGGGCGCTGCATGAAAGGGCTGAACAAAAGGGACAATGAGTGTGATGAGTGGGAGGCTTTAGCAGCACAAAGGGAGCCAGAGAGGCCAGGAGGAGTCCATGGGTTGTGTACCACGGGGCAGGGCAGGGCTGGAAGAATGGAGGCTCAGTCTCAGATCCTGTGTCACACACGTGCACGTGCCCACGTGCCGAAGCTGTTGACCTGCCCTGGGTGAGTACACGCTGCTGGTCCTATGGCAGCATGGCTTTCATTTCACCTGGCAATCCGAGGGGAGAACAGAGGAGGGCAGCTCCATCAAAGTTCAGTTTTTCTCCTCACCACCCTCTCAGCAGTGTTTTCTTCTCTGAAAGAAATGCAGCTGGTATATTGCATTCTTTAATTCTGAGTTTCTTCATTTTATTTCTGTTTTTGTCTTTTGAAAGCTCAGGATATAAGGGGTTGTTTTTGGATTGTTTCTGGGGTTTTTTTTAGATGCAGCCCATCATTATCTCCCTGGCAGCCTCAGTGTCTTTCCCCAGCATGGAAGGGCAATGTTCCCCAACCCCCAAAGCTCCTGGCACCCCAGGTGCACCCAGTTGAGGCTTCCTGGGCTCATATCAGCACATGAAAATGGCTGCACACCCTTGACCTCAGATCCTGTGTCACACATGTGCACGTGCTCACGTGCCGAAGCTGTTGACCTGCCCTGGGTGAGTCCACACTGCTGGTCCTATGACAGCATGGCTTTCATTTCACTCTGGACACTTCCTCCCTGCCTCATCCCTGGTTTCTCTCCAAGAACAAAGCTCTTGTGTGCTTCATTAGGAACCATTCCCTACCACTTGGAAGGGCTTTCCTAGAGCTGACTCAGCTGTACCTCTGGGCTCCAGCTAAATTCACATAGGGAAAAATAAAACATGAACCATCAAACAAGGGTCTCGGTGTCAGAGTGTGCTTAGTCTGTCCTCACGTGCCCCAAATTGATGCGGAATAGAAGGGTGCTCAGAAGGGATGTATCTAATTCAGATAGGCTTCATGGAGGAGGCAGAATGGAAACTGTCTCAGCAAGGAGAGGAGAGACTCAAACTAGCAGAGTGTATGGGGAAGGCATGCAAGGGAGGAAACATCAGGCATATGTGAAACGGGAGGAAGGGCAGTAAACCCAGGGGACAGGAAGGGTACCAGGTGATCAGACTAAAAAAAGGAGGAAAGATCTGAGTGGACTCCCTGGAGTCCTGTGGGTCATTTCCCTGGAGCCAAGCACTGAGAAGCAGAAGTCAGAGGCCTTGCTGTGTCCAGTGTTTTGCAGGAGGTCTTCCCTCCGCTCAGCAAGCACCCAGAATGCAAGCTTACACAGGCTTGGAGGCTGGTCTCACCTATGCCCCCCTGTATTGAAAGTGGTGCTATTGATGCTGCCAAGGGTTTGGTCATCCTGGGCATCAACTTCTTCACTGATAGGAGGCTCAGTACCCAACAAGAGCTTCAGCTGCTAGCACCAATGGGGATAGGCAGCTTCCTGGTCACTTTTGTCTAATAGCAACAGTAATAATGAAACTCTACTTCTACTACTATGACTTATAGTACAGATAGCACTTCAGACCTTAACAAAGGCTTCACATACGCCTATTGCCTGCCTGTCCTAACCACACCTGTACTCCCTCACTGCCCTCTGAGGAGGTGGGAGACAAACGTTACTTTACCTCCCTTCCCTGAAGTCCTCCCACTGCAGCCTGGTGCCCTTCTCCCCATCTCACCATTTTGGCAGTCACCCATCAGCTGGGCCAGAAGTGTCCATGGTGTGAACCCCTGCACCATGGAACTGTACTGGCCATACTGGTTGCTGTTCTACCACTTCACTGCAACTCTTTGTAGACACCACCCAGAAGTGAAGGCTCAGCTCAAAAGGCGTGGGCGCCTGGGTGTTTCTCCAGAGGCAACCCCTGAATACTCATGTTGCCTTTATCCCAGCCCCTATTTCAGGACCTGCCAGAGATGCTGAAGCAGGAAGCCAATCTGTAATTTGTCAATAAAAATAAAATAATAACTATGAACATTAGCAATAAAGGAAGTGAGATTAAAATGAAATAAAAAATAAGTCAGTAGAGCCCTATTCTGGGCTTCAGAATGACTCTGGGACACCTTATTGTTTGAGGGTTGCCCTAGCATCTCTCTCCAGACAATCACTTGCTTCAATTATAACGAGACACCACACCCTTTCTTAAAGGGCCAAAGATATCTTTGGCTCATGGGCCATCTACTTAGTTACAGTGAGAAAGCAGCCATCAACAGCATGTGATGTAGGCTGAATGGCCCCCAAATTAGGTCCTAATCCCAAAACCACAAATGTTACTTTATATGGAAAAAAAATGTAAATATGATTAATTTAACCACCTTGGGCTAGAGAGACTGCTTTAGATTAGCCAGGTAGGCCTTAAATGCAGTTATAGATGTGCTTAAGAGAGTGACACAGGGAGATCTGACACAGCCAGAGGAGAAGGCAACATTCACAGAGGCACAGAAGGAAATGATGCAGCCACAAGCCAAGAAATGTCAGCTGGTGGGACAAGGAGCAGATCTCCCTTACAGACTTGGGTGGTCACAAAGCCCCTGCGCATACTTTGATTCCAGCCCTGTAAAACTTATTTTTGGCTTTCAAAACTATGAGGGAATAAATTTCTGTTATATGGAACAAGTTTGTGGCCATTTGTTGTGGCACCATAGGAAATGCATATACTACCTAAATACACATGACTACATTGCAATAAAACTTTATTTACATAAACCAGGGGCTGTTCCAAATGCTGCGTATTTCAAACCCCTGAATTAGACACAAGAAGTCCAGGTGTGCATGACGAGGTTGGGGGAGAAGTCAGGGACAATATTTGCAAGTCATTATTTAGGAAAAAAAAAATCCACCTAAATATAAACACTCACTTGAGTTTCCTTTGCCAGCAGAGATAAGGAGTCATTGAATAACATTTTAATCGCTTGTCCGTGACCTACATGAGACCTTGGGGAACATGTGAGGTGGCCAGACTCTTGCAGCTGGAGCATCTCTCACAGGGCCTCGGTGGCTCCTGTCCCACCAAGGAGGGCGAGGGAGGGAGTATTTGGGAGGTGGGTGTGAGGAGGACGTGAAGATTCCACCTGTGGTTGCAAACGTCCTCCAGCACCTCCAGCTGGGACGGAATTCTCCTTCCTCCTCTGCCTGCCTCTGCAGAAAGGAAGCAGCCACTCCAAGACAAACATCCACCTCCATTGTTTGCTCACTAACCCAAGGCAGTGAATGTCTGGACACACATGCACCCTAAAAACTCCCTAGGTCCATTACAAAGCAAAGTTCCACAAATACTCACCAGACACGAAGGCCACTTTTTCCTTTAGGATGGGAAGGACATCAGAAGCTTTCAAACCATCATTCCGAAAAGACCCTGTGAGACAATGAGACAGAAGGAATGAGGGTTAAAGGCGCCAGGAGGCTGAACTGGAGCTCCCACCCTCCATCAGCCAACCCCGACATCAGTCAGCAGGTTCTGTCTTGTTCAGACCCTACAGCCCAGCCTTGAGGACCAGGCAGGAGAGGTGTACAACAGAAAGGACACTTCCCATGATGTCAGACCACACAGAAACCAGGGGTACAACTCTCCTGGCCCTTTTCAAAAACAAGGTACCCCCACCCCATGAACAAAGTGCCATGTTCTGGAAGCAGCCATGACAGACGTGGTGCTGCTGAGCAGTCTGAAGATGGGGAACTTTGGAAGTCGTTTTTGCTCTGCTGGTGTCCAACACAGAGTTTGGTACTCAGTAAGCACCAGCACTCAGTAAATATCTGTCAAATAAGTCAGATGCTATCAAGGTGGATTACAACGACCTAAATTCTTCTTGCGTTTCTTCTGAGTGGCACAACAACTGTTGGTCTTCATTTTACAAATGGAAAACATAAAACACAGGAGTCCCACAGTCGGAAGCAAAGTTGATGACATTTACCATTCCCCACCCTTACTCTTCCTCCTCCTCAATGTCATCATCATCATATTCAGGCCACAGTAGACAGGAGGTGGGGAGAGGAATCTCCCACAAAGGAAATGCACTTGCCTATTTAACTCATTCTTCATCTAAGCTTGCTGTTCAGTTGTGAAGTCCTCTCTAGGGCCTTGATGAGTTCCTGTTAGGGGGCTTCTGGTCTAGTACTGGGGCTCACAAAGAATGGGAAATAAAGATATGTTTGGAGAAACAGAAGCTTCAGGAGGCAAAGGACAACCTGGCCCCAAGTGGGAGGTGTGGGAAGGGAGGACATAGCTTCTCCTCACACACAAAGCCCCAGACTGGTTCACTATACCCCTATCATTTAGCCTTAGTACTCCACAGTGTTCTTGGGGAGATCCACCCACCCTCCCAGTTGTAACTGGTGTTTCTGCTGTGAATCAACACAGGGATTCGACACAGGTGGACCCCAGAAGGCAAGGGGTTCTGTGTCAGCTCAGTGAGACAACACAAAACCATGGAGACCCCATCCAGTGCCTTTCTCCATTTGGCCTACTCTCTTGGCATACGAATCTGACAAACCCCAAAGGAGAGCAGCATGCTGGACACGATGTTCCCATACAACCCCTCAATCTCCAATCATTGACTGCTTCCAGAGGCCCTCCTTGGAATTTGAACTGCAACTCAGGACTAAGATCACTGGTTTGGGATGGGAAATGGACACTCAACCAAGGAAGGAGATAGAGGTGTTCCTGAAATGCCAGTGCCCTTGTTCAGAGTGCAAACCCTAACCCCAAACAGTTTCCTTCCCATCATCTCTTCCTTTTCATTTTACACCAAATGAAGATAGTAAGTCCTTTATTCATCAACTGATTCTCTTAACGATTGACACGTAGTACCTGATGCTGGTGTAATCAGCTGTGAGGCTCACTTTGAGAAGACCAGGTGGGTAACAGAAGGAAAGAGCAGCACCATGAAAAAGAAAGCCCTAACTTAAAAGACCATAAGCCTCATACAGACTATCCTTAGATTCTACAGCTACTTATGCTCTAACTTTATCTTCAACATAGAAAAATTAATCTACTAATGGAGATTAATTAGAAATATAAATTATCAAAGAATTGACAAATAGATATATAGGGTTTTTTTTCCCATCATGCAACAAGGAAACTTTCCCATATTCTTGGCAGGGAAGAATCCTATTAGGCTTTTTGCAACTAGTCAAAGATCACCCTTAACTAATATATGAGTTGTTTGTGTAAAATGATGCTTCTGCATCAAAATAGCTTTATATCACTACACACACTACTAATTTATATAGAAAAAAAAACTTTACCATGAGAAGCTAAGTTTCAGATCTATCTTCTTTCATATGATTTATAAGTTCAAGATTAACAAGGCCCAGGGCTGGTGATGAAGCGCAGTGAGCTGAGTTGCTGCCCTTAATGCCAGCATCCCATAGAGGGGCACTGGTTTGAGTTCCAACTGCTTGCTTCTGATCCAATTCCCTGGTTATGTGCCTGGGAGGGCAGTGAAAGATGTCACCCATGTGGAAGACCTGGATGGAGTGCAGGGCTCCAGGCTGCGGACTGGAACAGCCCCAGCCATTTTGGGGAATGAATCCACAGATAGAAGATCAATCTCCCTCTATCTCATTTTAACTCTCAAATGAATAAATAAATCTTTAAAAAACAGCAAATCCCAACCTAATGAGATTTCATTGTATAACAAGAATTCATGTAAGTCTTTTCTCCTAAACTTCTGTCCTATTTCTTCCACTTCTCTCCCTCTCCTACCCTACTGTGTTAAAATATACAAGAGTCCTAATTCCAGTCACTAGACCTCAAGGAGCAGTTTTGAATTTGCTATAATGGGAGCAAAGATTCCGCATCCTATCGCTTCCCTGCTCCTGCCCATGGAGAGGAAGAGGGACTCCAAATCTTGCCCTTCACACTCCACTCCTCATGACTCACTTCTTCCTCTGTCATCCAGGGCCAAGGACCTGAGTGAAGCCAGGCAGCTTGTCCATGCACCTTGCAATCACAGGCTGCACTAAATGTCAGGATCTTGGGCTCAACTGTTCTAAGACTCCCAGGGCTTCCATTTTCAGGGCCAGAGTCCTCCCCACCCAGTGCAGATCACTGTTGGGCTATCTGCTTGGCTGTGTGCCTACCATAAAGAAAACCCAAAATGTCCAGATTTATAAAATGCATAATGAGGGGATAGTCATTTCCAACAACAACAACAATAAGACTTTTATGTTATAAAAGGACTTGCTCCACAGTCTCTTTAAATAAAGTTCCCTTAGTGGTTTGAATTAGTTTTTCATTTGCCAAAAATTGAATTGCAAATAACTTTTCAACAATATATATATTATGTAAAGCCAAGTAGAGCTAAACTAATTAGCTCAGCAGCTCCAAAATGGGTGACCTTGCATATAAAACCTATTTGTACTGGCTGCAGATCCTAGGTCTCACTTCCCTGGGGGCCTTTGAGAAAACAGCTGTTGGAATACATAATAAGGAATAACTTCATTGAACACCAACTCAAACAGGACCAATGAAATAGCAACATGTCTCATGTTTTCACTATCAGGTACATGTCTCTGTAGACTCATAGTAAATGTTCAATAAATATTTAATCAAAGAAAAAATGAGTGAATGAAATGTTAACCCTTCTTAAAGTGATTTACACAAGATCAGAAGCCTCACCTGTTACCCAACACACTGGTGATCTGAGTAGATAATCCCCAGGGTACCACTAAGTTCCAATATTCTGACTTTCTGAACCTTTTCTTCTTATTTATAAACTTTTATGATTTTCAGATTATCAAATCAATGTGCTTTGAATGGAAGAATTGGGAACAAATTCCCCAACAAGATTCAGCAAACCCTAGGAAGATAAAACAACACTTCCCTGAATTCCTAATAACTCTTTTCCTGGAATCAGTTTAGGTATTGGAATAATCAGGGTAAGTCACCCCATTTTGCAGGTAGCCCAAGCAAAGTTAGAGATAAGTGATGGAAGAACTTCTGTGGGCTACCCACACTTCAAAGGAGACATGCTTACTCTGCAATCAAAGTTCTGATACAAGGTACATTTGATAGCATTATTAGACTATAAACTCTAGACCAATCATAGACCAGCTTCCTCCTTTAACAGAAAAGCCTATTGAAACAGTAGGCCCTTTTCTACCTCCAAAGAAAACCTGAAAAGAAATAAGAACCCTAAGCCTTTGGAATTGCTGCAGGAGGAGTAAAAAACACGGCATCCTCAAAGACCTGACCCAACGTGGGTGTTGTGCCTCCTCTTAAGGACAAAGGCATGCTTTGTCGGCATTCAGTGCTAACCCAACCCCACTCATGTCCTGCTGCTGTCAGAATTACAAGCCTGCTGTTCCGTTAATTAGCAAAGCTTAAATGCTCTGCCTCGATTAGGGAAGTAAAAATTGCCACTGCCATCTCCCCAGGATTCTCCAGCATGAGTCTTCTACAAGCCCCACTTTTGCTCCTCCTTGCTCCAAATGTGAATGCTTACACTGCTGCTCTCTGTTCCTCAGCCCCTTCTCCTGGTCACCACTTTCTGTATTGGACATTGCCAATCATTCTCACTCTGGCTCCCAGCCTCCATGGGTCTCATACGACAACAGCAGGACTGGACCTTGGGCCGCAGACCCTGTCCATGGTTCTGTGGACCTGGGATAACTATAAATCCCCTAGGGCAGCTGGGTACCTTGTGCTGTATGCTATCTTCCAACAAGCGATTCTTAGACAAGCAAAGTAACAAAGAACTGAATAAGCATCTATTGAGCTGTTGGAGGTCTAAGCTGACAAGGTACCCATAGATTGCTCTTTCCTTTGGCTCTGAGTCACACCCCCTTAATTTGCACTTATGAGAAATGACTGTTTTACCAGTAAGACACCAATTTCCTACTGCTTGGGTTGTGCCTCCTCTTTCTACTCCATCTCTATGGTGTCCGGCTTGAAAGCCTTGATCAAAGCATCACTAAATCACTGACTGATAAGATTTGGCTTGCAATTGAAAGTTCCGATAGCTCATTTGGTTAAACCTTGGTTTGGGTATAATTTTGACATTTTACTATTCCTGAAGTCATTCTTGAATCAGTTCTTTATTAAGCACTTATTAGATGCTAGACCTTAGGTTAGGCTTTAGCGACAATTAAGACAAATGAGAAATGGATCCAGCTCTCTAGGGAATTTCTAAGCAGAGATATACAGGGATGTAAATGGGACAGGGCATCTATGCAGAACACAGAGGGGCTCAAGGAAAGTCTTCCAAAAGGGTGTCTTAAAGCCTACATAGGAAAATTAATAAGCATCACCTACCACCTAGATACCTGCTGGAAACATAGACTCTTGGGTCCCAAACTAGACCTATAGAATCAGACTCTGCATTTTCACAAGAATCCCAGGGGATTCACAGGCAC